GAAGTCCCTCCACCCCAAGATGGAGAGGTTCAGATTATGCATAGAGCCTTCTATGAGTCTTCTGTACTTTTGTGGATTTCACTTTCATTGAATGCATAAGAAAATATGGATCAATATCAGAGGAAATATGTGTTGGGGGGTGTGACCTTTCTAAATAGTTCTGTAATCTTGTGGCTGATATTTATTTATTTACCCATTTCACTTGGGTACCTGTAGCATGTGGAGTCATTCTGACATCCATGGGCCTGACCATATGGCCCCACAGGTCAGATCTGATCCATGGGCCATATGTTGGACACCCCTGCTTTAAATCAACCTGTACGGAATTTTTGAACCACCAGTAGGGTAGCAGTTTCTGAATCTGAGCTCCATATGTGAGTACTTGGGGCATGTTGTGTTGGTGCTGATTTGAAAGTAAGGTGAGAGTGGAGATTTGAAGAGATGATACTATTTGGTTTTTATATATCCCAAGTGTTATGACAGGAGAGGCACCCTTCCTGGCAAAATTCTAGTAAAATGGATCCCATTAGGGTTGATTTGGAAATCAAAGGAAACTCAACCCCCTCCCATGTAATATTGTCCTTTTCCAGTTACACTTTCCATTTTTAGGTTTTGCTAGGACTGGGCATTTTCACCCTCTTTCTCTTCCTCCTCCTTGAATGGATCCTTGTTAATGCAAGCAGCTCCTGTTTACTTCTTCTCACCTGTACTCTGTCTCCTTTCCTTTGTTGTTGTTCTGTTGGCTCCCTGAGGGCATACAGATGGTAGCCTGGCAGACAAATGAGGTGATACTACATGAGAGAGGGAGAGAGAGAGAGAAAAAAAAGGCTTCCAGAAAGAGTCCAGATCTCAGATTGTTGTGAGACCACAGCATTTACTGTATGACAACAGCTGTTTATTGGACCTTGACAAGTTGCAGGTAATGTGCAATTTTAGGAAAACAGCCTAAGCACACCCAGTACACTGAATGCATCTTGTCACACCTGCTAATATACCATGTTCCTGCCATTTATCACGTTCAGTAAGCTAACAAATATTTTTACCTGGTTGCACTGGTATATTAGGTATGCTTTTTAAAGGTGAAACTTCCCTCACTTTCACAGTACTAGCACAAGGCCCAGGGACCTCTCAAATCAAATTAAAGGCTTATAAAGTAGACTTTAAATGGCATATTGACCTTGTACTTCTCTGCAGAGGTTGAGGGTGGGTGAGGGGGAAGAATTCATTTAACTTTAAGTGCAGGAAGGAGTTAATAGTAAGGCCACAAGGTGCATACTTGTAAGGATTTCATAACATAGCTATGAAGGATATAGAAATGCCCCTGAACTTATAGGAAACCTAGAACTTTCAGTCAATTTTCCTTAGCATATTGTTCCTTTGAGAAGATAGGTGAAACAGTAAATATTGTGGGAAAAATTGTTCTGTATCCAAGAAGCTTTATGAAATATATCTTATAAAAAGAACTCACCAAGCAGATGTCAAATGCTGTTTTTAGCTTAGAGGATGTAACAGTGCTGTTTGTTATGATATGTCAGCATATCACTATATCAGATTCAAAATATTTCACATGTAAAATAGCCAAGCTTGTAAAACAACAGTTCAGCAACACTGGGATGTAGTAGGCAGGGGGAAAAAAATAAAACCAGCCACAGTAGGATGAGTCATTTAGCTAGACAAGTTAAGCAAAACAAAGCTAGAGAAAACTTAAAATCCTATAGGGAGATTGCCTGAATATAGTACTGTATTTCTAATACAGCCCAGCAATTGATAGAGGACACCTAGTGGAGGTTTGTAGAAACAGCACATTCCTGGTCAAAGCTTGTCTACATAGTGCTGCTCTTAACTTCCCTTGCTCCATGCAGCAGTCATATATATATGACGTGTGTGTGTGTGTGTGTGTGTGTGTGTGTGTGTGTGTGTGTGTGTGTATATATATATATATATAAAGTGTGTGTGAGATAAGGTTAGACGTCCAATGAAACAAATTGCACCAGCCCTAGTGGAGAATCCAACTATGAGACCTTTTAGCCTCTTGTTCTCAGACTGGCAAGATCGTGGGAAACAAATTCTTGGTTAAATTGTGCTGTAGCTTGAGAACAAAATTTGCCAGAGAGCATTTTTCATGACTTAGTATTAATGTACATTTGTCAAACTGGGAGCAATAATGACGGGATGTTGAGAGCTTTCAGTCCTGAGCCAAAAGGACCAACAAGTGGAAAATCTGAGTGGGGGAGGTGGAGGCTGAAGGGGAGCAAATAAGGGGAGGAAAACTGGAAAGGGATTGAGGGAATTCCTTGAGGGGATATTAGGACGGACTGAAAAAGAGTCTTTTTTTTGGTGCCATAACTTCCCCTTAGATCAGGAAACTGAGTGACAGCAAAAGCCACAAGGAACAAGAAGTGAATAACTGTTATAAAGAGCTTAAACTCTAGAGAGGCACTTGGTTTTCAGAGTGAGACTCAGAGGTGTAAGTAGCCAAAACACTACAGTAATGAGACTATGGGCTAGAACAAAATTGCAGCGAATGCTGCAGACTGTGCTTTGTCTTTCATTTAAATCTATCTTAATTCTCTGGGTTGAGAATTGTTTCTCTTGATGTGAGATTTCCTGGGTTAGCCAGGGTTTAGAGGAATTATACTTCCAAGAAAGAGAATGTTTATCAAATGGTCATAATGGAGAACCTTGTTGTTTCACTTGCTGGTTTTTTTCTCCAAGTTTCTTTGTTCCTCTTTCATGTTTTGATAGACAAACCTTCCGTTGCTTAAGCCGCAATAGTCACTTTGGCTAAAAATAATAATATTCAAAAAGGAATCCAAATACTAAGTAATTTACATACCGTTTGTCAGTGCTTGGGAGTAAATTGTGCATGTGTGTTTTGTTTTTTTTTTTCCCCCCTCTGTTCACATGCTTTCTGTGTTCAGTCTACTGAATGAGAGGCTAGGGATGTATTTCTGATACTAAAATAATCTAAAAAGGATGATGAAGGCTAGGAAACTGCAATGTGAGCTACCATGTGTCTTTTGAATGATGGGAGTACGTGTGTTATTTCTTCATCACTATTCCCTTTTGCTCTGTTCCTATAGGAAGGGTAGGCAGTAAAGTGAATTTTACAAGACAGCAGGATACTTGTAAATGTCAACATGCTGCCTGCTTGCAAGGCCTGAGACTGGTACAACCGTAAAGTTACATACACGGAGACAGAAAAAAAGGTAGCACAGTGGGTTTGCTTCTGTACGTTCTGTGTGTTGGGTTTTTTTGTGTTGGTTGGCTGATTGCTTTTTGTTCAAAAGATATTGCAGGCCTCCTTGTTGTTTGAAGTAGCTGTTGAGAAAATATCACAGCAAGGATCTTGATGAAAGTTAACCTCATACTTATTTTGGAACCTCGTCTTGGCCTCATGATGGCGTGTTTGGCATTTTGTCTTAACTGATCCTGATAATAAAAGTGGGGAAATTCCGGGTGGTGACTTTGTCAAAGTAAAAAACAGATGTTGATTGAATCAGCTATTACACCAGACTGATGCTTGTGGAGGTGGATGCATGGTAGTATTTGTGAAGCAAAAACACTTTCCTCGGAGCTCTTCAAAACAGAGGATAAAGACCATTCCAGGCTGCAACCAGGTGACAGTGTAAGAGTGACAGATTCTGAACTTTGGGAGAACAGTTTTGCATGCATTTGATAGACTAGAAATAGCTTTATTGTTTTGATAAAAAGGGTGCAAATCTAATATATGATGTGGACTGCAGACCAGCAGCAAAAAGCCAAACATTTTCCAACAGCACAGCCTGGGGTTGTCACAGCTCCTTACTCCACATGAATGTCACTTCCACTTGCATATGCATGTCATTCATGGAGGCTTATTTTTTTTTTAACTGGGTCTTCGGAGTGCCACCAGTGATTATTCCTGGCTATCTATAGTTAGTGCTCTCCTGTGGGGCTCACAGAAGAAATGGGACTTTTCAAGGTATCTGAATGAGACCAGGGTTGGTATCTGGGACTGGAAGGTCATTCAGTGCCTTATGGCACAGAAAACTGGAATAGGAGGCCATGAGAGGAGGGTGGAAGGTACAGAAGCAGCCACATAGGAGAGCCTAGAGGTGGGCTTGGGCAGAGTTGTCCAGAGTCTTTAAGGAGAGGCCAATTGAGATTGCAGCATCAAGGGCCCGACAGATTCCCTTTGGCTTTCTGGTGCAAGGATGAATCCTTGAAAATTAGGGTTGGAAGGGACCTCAGGAGCTCATCTAGTCCAACCCCCTGTGCCAAGCAGGACCATCCCCAACCAGCTCATCCCAGCCAAGGCTTTGTCTAGCTGGGTCTTAAAAACCTCCGAGGATGGAGAGTCCACCATGTCTCTGGGTAACCTGCTCCAGTGTTTTACTACCCTCCTAGTGAGAAAATTCTTCCTACCATCTACCCTAAACTCCCCTTGCTGCAACTGGAGACCATTGCTCCTTGTTCTGCCATCTGCCACCACTGAGAACAGTCCAGCTGCATGCTCTTTTGAACCCCCCTTCACCGATTTGAAGGCTGCTATTTAATTCCCCCTCAATCTCCTCTTCCGCAGACTAAATAAGCCCAGTTCCCTCAGCCTCTCCAATGGAGCCCTGCCCCCCAGCCCCCTCACCATTTTCACTGCCCTCCACTGGAGTCCTCCTGGGGCTTGCCCATCTACATCCCAGTACCCTCCTGCCCAGGTCCCCCCAACAAGACCCCCCCACGGCACTTCAGCACCGCCCCCCCACCGCCATGCCACAAAGGGCGGGGCCAGGGGCAGGTGGGCGTGGCTTCGCCGCGGGCAAGTGGCAGCGCCGGCGTCTAACGGCGAGTGAGGAAACCGGCGAGGGCTGGGAGAGAGTGCGGGGGCGGGGCCAGAGGGAGGAGCTAGAGCGCGCGTGTTGGGGAGACGGGCAGAGAGTGCGAGACAGAGGGCGAGTGAGCGCGCGGCGGCGGGTCCCGCTGGCCCG